GAGTGTGGGACTGCTTCAGCCCAGGGGTCCATTACTGCTCCCGGGGTAAATCTGGGGAGACAGGGCCTGGCCCCCTCCTTCTCCGGTTCCTGGCAGACCAGGCCGGCAGGCTCTGGGAGCATGACTGCCCGGGCACATGTACTGTGACATGGGCACAGACAGATGCCCATGGGGAGCAGAGACATGGACATGCACGCACAGGTACAGAAGAGGCGTGTGTGTGTGTGTGGGGGGGGTGGTTGTGGGAGGGGTTGGATGTGCCCTTGTGTGTGCTAGTACGTGTATGCTCACAAGAAGTATATATGACCCATGTCTGAGAATCTGTAAGCATTTTCGTCCTCTCTGTGCTGGAGTTAGAGGTCACTTAGTTCTCAGTCAAAAATGGGGTTCCAGCCGAAACCAGTTTGGCTCAGTGGTAGAGCGTCGACCTGCCGACTGAAGGGTCCCAGGTTCGATTCCCGTCAAGGGCATGTACCTTGGTTTCGGGCACATCCCCAGTAGGAGGTGTGCAGGAGGCAACTGATCGATGATTCACTCTCATCGATGTTTCTAACTCTCTATTCCTCTCCCTTCCTCTCTGTACAAAATCAATTAAAAAACAAAACAAAACGGGGTTCCACCCCTCTGCCTTTACCGGGCCTTTGTAGGGGAGCCGCGCCCCAGCCCCCAGGCTAGGCCCTGTGGGACAGGAGGTGTGTTCACACCCAGAGGCTGAGCTGGGCTCCTGGTGCTGAGGATGGAGGTGCTGAGGATGGAGGAGGGGGTGGGCGAACAAAGCTGGAAGGCTGCGTCACCCGGTAAGATCGGGGCTGGGAACAGAGGTGGGAGGTGCTGGAGAAGGGTCCGGGGTGAGGCGACAGGGTCTGAGGGGAGATGGAGAGGCCCAGGGGACAGAGATGGATCATGGCCCGAGTCTGAGGCTCACTCTCTAGGCTTTTCCTCACCGTCCCCATATTCTCTCACCACCACCCCATGATTGCGTCAGAAGCTTCCAGAGCTCTGTATCCTCCCTCTGGCCTACCTCCTCCTCCAGGGAGCCTCCTAGGGCTGCCAGCCCTGCCCCACAATGCTTCTCCTCTGCTGCAGGGGACCCTGGCCTGTCCCTCCATCCCCCGGGCCCTGCCTCTGCCGGGCTCTGTGGCCTGGCCTGGCCTGGGCAGGGCACCCTGCCTCCTCTCCTTGTTCCTCAGGTGGAACCGTTGACCCAGGCACGTCGTCACTCTCATTCTGTCACTCAGCAGACCTGCTCAGAACCAAATATCCCCATCCTGCTGTGTAGCTGGCAGCCAGGCCCCCTAGGTGATGGGGCTGGAGCTCCGAGGGACAATGTCCCCACCCCTGGGGCAGGGCGGGGATGGGTGAGCAGTGCAGGGTGGACCTTCTGTCGCTGAGGTGAGATGTGAGAGCGAAGACTCTGAGGGCTCGCAGGCCAGTGACTGAGGGCTTCCCAGAAGAGGTAATTATTTGAATCCCAAAGGAGGAGAGAGAGCAGTGGCCCATCTGGGAAAGGCCTGGCCACGGGCGAGAGGGGCGACAAAGGTGTGGAGTGTGCAGAAGAGAGAGAACGGGACTGGCAGTGCAGGCTTGGGGCTTTCTCCCCATCACGGACCAACCTGTGGGCACTGGACTCTGTCTCACTCTGTCTTGGCTGCAGGGGCTGTTGGGGGCCAGGATCTAGGCTGCCTTCCCATGGAGTTCAATCCCCCTAGGCCAGTGGTTCTCAACCTTCCTAATGCCGCGACTCTTTCATACAGTTCCTCATGCTGTGGTGACCCCCAGCCATCGTATTACTTTCATTGCTACTGCAATTTTGCTACTGATGCATCGCAACGCAAATATCTGTGTTTTCCGATGGTCTCAGGGGACCCTGCTAGCGGGTCTCATCCTGTAAGTCACCGCATTAGGAAGGTTGAGCACCGCTGCCCCAAACCCTCCGCTTCCCTTCTCTGGACTCTCTTCAGGATCCTTGTCTCCGTTCTCCAGCCTCCAGGCTAGATGGCTCCCACACCAAGAGGCATTTCACTTCCGGGTCCCCAGCAGGACACACACCTTCTTTGTCACGTCGCTGTTCGGGATTCCAGCAGTCCCTCTACTTACCCCGCCCGGGAGAGAGAAGGGTCATAGCTCCCCCTACTGGGCACATGCAAGGAATGCCCCTGGCGTGTCAGCCTCATTCCTTCAGCCTTCACAGGGTTGGGGTGTGTGTGTGTGTGTGTGTGTGTGTGTGTGTGTGTGTGTGTGTGTTTGCATCCCTCAGTTCGCCAATAAAGGCAGTGAGGCTTAGAGAGTAAGTGACTTGGCCAAGGTCACACAGCTCGCCAGGGGTGAGCCTGTCTGTCTCCTGGGCTTGTGCTCCTAAAAGGGACGTTTGCAGCTCTTTGTCCAGACTTGTCTTTGGAGTCATTGCAAAGGTGAGCACACACAGGCCAAACAGGGGAGGAGCAGGCCAAGGTCACGGACTCCGCCCTCTGGCTCTGACCCCAAGGGCTTCTGCCTGCTGGCTTCGGTGGACAAGGAGCCAGCTCCTCCCTGTCCTTGGAGACTTCGCCAGGAGACCAGGGTGCCCCAGCCCCGGGCAGGAGAGCCGTGAATATCAATTCCACCTCCGAGCCCAGGCTCACCGCCTGCCCCTCTCCCAAGCCCTTGACTCGGGCTCTGGGGGCTGGGGAAGGAGAAACAGGAGTGTGGTGGAGAGTTTGCAGCGTGAAGCTACACTAGAGAAATGCGCAATGATATGAATAAATTTAAATAATAATGAGGACAGTGCCTGAATTAATAATGCTGGCTGCTCACCTGACCCACCTCCTCCCCTGGAAATACGGGCGAGCCCATCCTTCGCCGCTTTGGCAGACACAGGCGGACTGCCAGGTCAGCAGAGTTGGGGAGCTGCTGGCAGGGGTGGAGGAGGAGCCCTGCGTCCCACTCCCTGATCCCCTGCAGACCCGGAGAGCCGGGTTTGCCCGCTTACCCAAAAGATGCTCCTCTGTGCATTCAGTCACAAGCTGGCCATCCGTCACTCCTGGCCCCGCCCCCTCTTCTTGGCCCCTCTACGCGCAGCACCGATTTGGATGTTAAACATGCAGGGAAATTTAGAGGAGAAAGATGCCACAGCCCTTGGCCTTGAATAGAGGTTCTCATTCTGGTAAACAGTGAGGGCAGCCGAAACCAGTTTGGCTCAGTGGATAGAGCGTTGGCCTGCGGACTGAAAGGTCCCGGGTTCAATTCCGGTCAAGGGCATGTTCCTTGGTTTCGGACACATCCCCAGTGAGGGGTGTGCAAGAGGCAGCTGATCGGTGTTTCTCTCTCATCGATGTTTCTGACTCTCTATCCCTCTCTCTTCCTCTCTGTAAAAAATCAATAAAATATATTTTAAAAAACAAAAACAAAAAAATCAGGGAGGGCAGACACCTCACCCACCCACCGCCCTGTGTCCCGTGGCAAACACAAGCAGGGGCACAGACTACCTGAGATCCCAGGGACAAGCTGTGTTTGCCCAGGGAGCTAAGAGGCCAATCCTGGAGGTCTTCCTGGAAGTGGAGCAGGCTTGGAAAGAAGGGGAGAGAGGAAGCTGGAGGAGGAAAGAAGAGGGGGGACAGACAAGGATACTGTCTTTACTTACAGGGACGTGTTGGAATGGGGAGGGGCGGGTTTCGTTTGCTTCCTTATACCCAGAGTAACGGAGACTCAGAGACATTTTGGAAACAGATTTGGGCTGGGGGTCTCTGTGAAGACACGGGGCTACAGAGGGAAAGGGGGGAAGGAGGCCTGGGGAAGTTGGTTTGGGGTACCGCCGTGTGGCAGATTCGGGCGTGGTAGGATGCCGCACACCTCTCCCTCGCTGTCCTGCAGCCCCTCCATCTCTGCCCTCCTCCCCACAGCCCTGCACGTAGGGGAGCTGAGGCTCTGCCCCGAGGCTGTGTGCCTTGCCCAGGGCTGCCCACCTCAGGGCTGGGCAGGTGGGCTGCAGGCGGGAGCAGGGAGGGGTGGGGAGGAGGAACCGCCGTCCAGGTCCCTGCTCCACTCGGGCCCCACAGTGAAAGGCAGGGACTCTGCGGCCCTCTCACCCAGTGCTCCCGGCCCGGCGGCCAGGGGGCGGCTGGATGCAGCCCCCACAGAGCCGGGGCCGGGCGTGTGCAGCCCCCACAGAGCCGGGCTCCGCACACAGGGCGGGGCGGGTGCCACGAAGCCGGGTCACACACAGCCACCCGGCCGCTGTGCCCACATACACCCACCTGCCCCCGAGGAGCTGCCCTCGGCACTGGCTGGGCGCACTCACAGGGAGCGGGGCCACACGGTTGCACATGCGTGTTCCCGGACCCTGGCTCACACAGGGCGTGTGCAAGCTGGGTGAATGGTGCGTTCAGGCCTCGGGACTCAGGGGGCCGCGGCGTTCTGGGCAGCGTTGGCGCGGGCTTCCTGGAGCTGGAATGTGCTTTCTGCCTCCTTTGCTCCAGCCTCTCTGCCTCCTGCCCCGCAGTGTGTGCTCAGAGGCCAAGCCCATTATAACATCAGCCTGAGAACTTAGTTATTTATTCAGTACGCCTTCATGAAGCACTGTGAGCCTGTGCTGACTGACACGGGCGCCAAGTGGGGGCAGCGGGAGAGAAGAGCCGGGGCCTGGAGCTCTGCGGCTCCGGTTCGAATCCCCGCTCTGCCTTTCATCCACTGGGCAGCCTGGGTTAGGCCTCCGTGTCCTCACCTGCCAGCTGGGAGGGTTTGGAGCCCGGCCTCCGGGCCTTTGCCATTTCCTATGGTTGCTGAGCCCTTCGGCTCCTGACACCGTTCCAGGACCGCGGAGGGAGGGAGGGAGGGATCGGGGGGAGCGTGTGACATCCTGCAGGGAAGGCGCTGGGCTGAAGTGGGCAGACGGGAGGGCCCTGGCCCAGGCCTCCTCTCTCTCCAGCCAATGCAGGGTGGAGCAGGAGCTGGAATGGCTGCCTCTGGGTGGCACCACTCTCCCCTCGCCTCTCCTTACCCGGTGCCGCCTTTGGCTTTGCCAGGGACCCAGACGCGCTTCAGCCAGGAGCCAGCCGACCAGACCGTGGTGGCCGGACAGCGGGCCGTGCTCCCCTGCGTGCTGCTCAACTACTCGGGGATCGTGCAATGGACCAAGGACGGGCTGGCGCTGGGCATGGGCCAGGGGCTCAAAGGTGAGTGGGGTCACCCAGCCAGCCCCATCCAGACCGCCCTTCCTCTGTCCCCCCTCCCCGCTCCAGACTCCGGCCGGCCTCGGCCTCCCCTCTGCTCCAGGCTCTTCCCGGGGGTGTGGCCGGGCTCTCTCCTCTCCTCCCAGCCAGCTTCGCCCAAACCCTGCTCCTCTTTGGTTCTTCCCGTGGACTCGCTCAGAAAGGCAGTGAGAGACCAAAGGAAACCGGGAGATCTTCATGCAAAAGAGGTCAGACAGACAGACACCAGGAGAGCTGCTTCAGGCAGAAGGAGGGGAAGCAGGAGGTGCTGGGGGCGTTCTCTGCAGAGCAGGAGAGAGACAGGCCAGCTTATGCCACTGGCTTTGCCCCCGCCCCCGCCCAGCAATGTCTGCTCAGAGGCTGAAAACGCACTCTAATATCAGCCTGAGCACTTGTTTATTTGTCTATTTATTCAACAAGCTTTTATTAAGCGCCCCGGAGCCAGTGCTGAAGCAAAGAGTTGGTAATAAGTTAAATAAACAGACAAACAAATAAACCAAAACGCAACCCCCTGAATTCCAAAGTCAGCCGATTCTCTGAGCGGCTGCCTGGCAGAGGAGCTGCGGGTCCAGCCCCAGGTGCTGGTGCTCTCTGCCCCCTCCTGCTGGGCGGCCTTGGCCGGCCGCCGTGTAAAATGGTGTAACAGTCCCAGGCCTGCCCGTCCGGTTAGTGCATGTGTGGGTTTCGAACCAGATGAGAATGTGCTTTGTGAAAGCACGCCGCTCATCACACAGCCGTGTGACGACCTGGGAGGGACTGTGCGTGTTCGTCATTGTCGAGGGGGGAGACGGCTGGCTGTGGGTGGGTGTTAATGCAGGTGGGAGGTTTGTGTGTATAAAGCAATCTGATTAAGGGAAGAGATAGGTCTGGTGGATCTATTGATGATAGGAAGGGAAAGAAACGGAGAGAAAGAGATCAATGGGTATGGGTGAGAAGAATCAATGGCCTCCGGACAGAGGGAGAGAGTAGGAGGGAGCTGGGGGGGGGAGGGGGGAGGTGCAGGAGGCGGGGGCAGGAGAGGGAGGGGCTGGGCAGTAGCAAAGGAGGCCAGAATCACAGAGCCTGACTCTCTGAGGCCCCCCTCCTCCCCCCCTACGGCTTCTTTAGGGAGCAGGGTCTCGGGGTTCGGGGCTCCTCAGGGAGCTGGGGGGACCTGCCCCCCCATCCCTCCCTGGGCAGGTGAGGGTGAGCTCATGTCTGTGCTGCAATGTCCCACATCCCCCCTCTCTTCCTCCTCTTTCTCTTCCCCCTCTCTTCCTTACTGCTTTCTCTTTCCTATTATCACGAGGGACCATTTTCTGCAAACTGCTTTAGAGATTTGCTCTCCTTTCCCCCACCCCCCCACCTCCCTCCCGTCTCCACCTGCCCCTCCTCCTCCTGCGTCACGGCCCCAGCCTCCCTGTGGGGGTTATGGCGTCACGGCATCCACATCCCTTTCCACTGAGGTGGGTTCTCAGGAGAGGGGGGGGGGTGGCGTGCTGGCTTGGGGTGGGGTGCGGCCCTGGGGGGGTGAGACGCGGGGGAGGAAGGATGTGTGGGGTCATTCAGGCGGCTCCCAGTGGGTGGGCTCACGCTGGGCGCCCCTCTCTGTCCCTGCAGCCTGGCCTCGGTACCGGGTCGTGGGCTCCGCGGACGCCGGGCAGTACAACCTGGAGATCACGGACGCCGAGCTGTCTGACGACGCCTCGTACGAGTGCCAGGCCACGGAGGCCGCCCTGCGCTCCCGGCGGGCCAAGCTCACTGTGCTCAGTAATGCCCTCCCTCCCTCGGTGCCCACAGCCACCCTGCCCTTCCTCTGGGCATCGCAGTCCCTCCGCTTCCCCTGCCCCACCCTCACCTCCCTTCTCCCTCTGCTCCTACCTCACGCCTGCCCCCGCCCTCTCCCCCGAGCCTTCCCTCCCATCTTCTTCTTTCAACTTCTTTTCTTCTGATTGATATATTCTTATTGATTTCAGAGAGAAAGGGAGAGGGAGAGAGGGAGAGAGAAACACCAAGGATGACTGAGAACCATGGATCAGCTGCCACCCCAGAGCCACAGCCCATGCCCCTCTGCAGCAGCTCCAGGGCCATTTCCATGCTGATGGGCCTCTCCCCACACAGGGCCAGAGTGTCCTGCTCCACTGCCGGCCTCTCTTTTTAAAAATATATATATTTATTGATTTCAGACAGGAAGGAAGAGGGAGAAAGAGAAGAATCGATGATAAGAATCATTCATTGATCAGCTGTCTCCTGCTCATTCCCTACTGGGGATTGAGCCCACAACCTGAGTATGTGGCCTTGGCCGGAATGGAACCTGGGACCCCTCAGTCCGCAGGCCGACGCTCTATCCACTGAGCCACACTGGCTGGGGCATGCCCGGCCTCTCTTTCAGGACCTCCGGCCCCACAATCTTTCTGTTCCTTCATGCTCCCTGGCTCTCCCTGGGCCTCCGCCTCGTGTTTCTGTCTCTGCCTTTCCTTCCCACCTGCCTGCGACCCTCCTATTCCTCTTTGTATTCCGCCAGCCCCTCCCTTCCTCCTGCCTCTGTTTGATCTGCCCGCTTCCCCTCCTCCCTCCTCTAACCAGAGCTCATTGAAGTGGGGAAGGCCCAGGAGGGGAGGAGGAAGGAGGCAGGTGGGAGAGGAGCGAGCTCGAACACCAGGGAGCTTTTTCCTGGGGTTAGGAGGAGGCTTGCGAATCCTTTGAGTGTGGCAGGCAGAGCCCCGGGCTGGGGTCAGGAGACCTGGGCCGTTTTCTGCACCAAAGTCAGGAGAGGTCACGACCTCTGGACAGTAGTTCTCTTTCTTTTCTTTTTTTTTAAAATATATTTTATTGATTTTTCACAGAGAGGAAGGGAGAGAGGGAGAGAGACAGAGAGCTAGAAACATCGATGAGAGAGATACACTGACGAGCTGCCTCCTGCACACCCCCCACCAGGGATGCGCCTGCAACCAGTGTACATTGCCCCTGACTGGAATCGAACCCTTCAGTCCACAGGCTGACGCTGTATCCACGGAGCCTAACTGGTCTCGGCAAGACGGTAGTTTTCTTATCGGTCCGCGCCAGGAGCTGTGAGCGTGGGTTCTGGGCGAACGGGAGAGGAAGCCCACAGCCGGGACTGCTGGCTGCAGAGGCCCTGCAGGACCAGGACAGAGGACGGTGGCAGGGGACTTGCTTTTCCTCTCTGGAGAGGACGGAGTGGGGAGAGTTCGCGAGGAGCAGGCCTGAGATTGGGGGCAGGCGTTAGTCGGCCGCCAGGGGTGGGCGTGGGAAGATGAGACGCCCTCTTCCATCCCTGGTTGGAGGGTGTGAGCCCCACGCTGGAGCAGGCATTCCAGGGGGGTTGTGGGCTTCCGTTCCCCTCTCTGACGCCTGTGTTAGGCGCTGGCACAGTGCCCCGGAGAGCCCCCGGCCCAATTAGAAGGTCTGATTACCTCCCTTCCCTTTCCCTCCCTCCCGAGCACTACAGGAATAAAGACAGACGAAGAAAGGCCAACCAAACCCCTAGACATGGCAGGGCCAGGCCTTCCCTTGGTATCCAGAGGCTTGGTTCAATCCAGGAAGGCTTCCTGGAAGAGGAGGCTATAAACGGGAGCCCTGCAGGGGGGAGCCACTTGTTAAAAAGCTTGCAAGCCAGTGAGGCACATGAGTGGGAGGGCAGGGCTGGTGCTGAGGGTGTGGACCTTTGTAGCCATCAGGGAGACTTGGGCAGGCGAGGGAAGCGGGAACAGGCCCCAGGCATAAAGGTGGAAGGTTAGTCTGACCGCTTCCTTTCCCTCCTTGTCTCTCTCCAATTCTCAAACTCCCCGCCCGCCCGGGTCTCAGGGGAGCGACGAGAAGGCAGGACATTCCTCAGGTCCTTCCCCGCTGACCTGCGCACACGCAGCTTCTGCTCCCGGCAGCCTGGGGCCCGGCCACGGGGCCGGACGGGGTCAGGTGTGGGCGGTGTCCGGTGCCCGGGACCAGCCTCCCCGCCCGGGGCTGGCTCCAGCCCCCCAGTCAGCAGCCAGGCCCCGCCGTGCTCTCTCCGCCAGCCCCATCCAGGCTGCCTCTTCACTGACGGCCTTTCCGCCTCCCGCAGCGAGGCTTTGAAAGCTGCCTTCCCCGCCCCGAAGGCAGACAGACATCATCTCCATCTGCAGATCTACCTCCTCCTCCTTCAGCGGGCCCGGCCCTCCAGCTCAGACCTCTGCTCACCTTCCCGGGCCTCCGCACCTCCTCTGTAGCTTGGGAGTCGTGGCATTTGCCATGAGAGGAGTAATGGCATACGTGTGTCATTAATGAGGGTTCATGACATCATATGCACGAGGCACTGTGACCCCTGATGAGCACTCAGTGGAGATGGCCGTGCTCCCCGGGCCGTCACATTCCTGACCTCAGACCTCACTTCCCTTCCCGCTGACAGCCCCGGGGAATAGGTGTCTGTTCTTTTGTTTCTGGTGCCCTGACCGGACTCGAACCTGCGACCCCTTTGGTGCACAGGCAATGCTCAGCCCACAGAGCCACACCAGCCAGGGCAGGACGTTCTTTTTTCAATTATACAAACAAGGAAACAGGCCACCGACACGTACACATGGATACGCAAATTTGTCACGCATCATAAAAACGTGTTCGTAAACAGTCGGGTGCTGTCTCACCGAGGGCTGATCATACACGTTTACAACCGCTTTCTCTTTGCCCCAGATTCTCAGGGGAAGGTGGGCAAGTGGCAGGTGCCAAATGGGCCATCTTCCCGAAGGGCCCCCGGTGCAGGGGGGAGGGAGAGCCGGGGGGAAGAGAAGCCGCTCACAGGAGGGGCTCCTGTGTCTGGAGTGTCCCTCACCCCCCGTCCCACAGCCCGGACGCCAGGGCCTGGCCGCAGCCAGCACCTCCCTCCGGGACATGATGGCCGGCGTGACCTGGGCGGGCCCAGGCGGAGCAGGAGACCCTGAGTGGCAGCTCTCTGTCTTCCCACTTTTCTCTTCCACCATTTCCCAATCCCCCCGCATCCGGCCTGGGGCCCGGGTACCCCGTAGAGCAAAGAGGAGAAGCCAGGCAGTCCGGGGGTGACTCGCTAGCCCCGTGGTCAGCAAACTGTGGCTCTTTGGCCCCTTGAGTGTGGCTCTTCCACAAAATACCACGGCCTGGGCCAGTCTATATTGAAGAAGTGGCGTTAGAAGAAGTTGACGTTTAAAAAGTTTGGCTTTCCAAAGAAATTTCAATCGTTGTCCTGTTGCTATTTGGCTCTGTGGACTAATGTGTTTGCGGGCCACTGGGCTACCCAGTAAAACGAACAGGTACCCCAGGTCCCCTGGGCCCCGCACAGCCCAGCCCACACCCAGGGCCCCGTGACCTCCGTGCGGCCCCAGAGCAGGTCTCTGTTGAAGAAACGGAGGCTCAGTGACTGAGGGGCTCACCCGAGATCGTGAGAGAATTCACAGAGGCGCCAGGGTCAGGACCGGGCAGCGGGTCCTCCATGCTCTCCCTCTGCCGCTCCGCATGCGCGTGGGGCAGGGCTTCTGGGACAGACTCTGCTGGAACTGCGGCCCCTCAACTTCCGTCCTGCCCAGCCCTGACTCCAAGGGCCTCCAGGGCCACTCGGGGGGTTCCCTCAGCCCCTCCGAGTCTTTCCCAGCAAACGACAAGCAAACCCTTTGCGTTTCTGGCCCCGTGAGCACCAGGTGGGCCAGAAAGGTTGTGATCAAAATGTGTCCGCCTGTCTCGTCAGTAGCGTGTACTCAGTGACTCAGGGAACGGCCGCACCCAGCTCGGGGCCGGACGCTGGAGCTGTAAGAAAAGCAGCAGCAGTCCCTGCCGCAGGGCGCAGTGGCCCGTTCACCCGAGCAGGCGGAGGGCTGTGGGGACAGTCCCCGATTGCCTGCATCTCGGTGTCTGAAGCACTTAGCGAGAGCCTGCTTCAGCACGTGCTGGGCACAGAGGCTGTGAGCATCAGTGAGACCGGCTCTGCTTTCCCGGGAATAAGAATCCTGGTGGGCGGAGTGTGGATAGTCAGCATCGGTGACCCAAGCACAGGGGCCTGGTGGGAGGGGCTCCGGGTGGCACCTCGGACCACGAGGTGGTGGTGGGGGGCAGGGGAAAGGCCTTGTGCGGCAAGAAGGAGGCAGTCAGGATGGGCAGCCCTTCAGCAGGAAGGGAAGGAGCGAGAGAAGAGGACGTGAGCAGGAGGAGCCCTGAGCAGCAGGCTGAGGTGCTGGACCTCAGGAGGGGCCCAGACTTAGGCGGGAGTGACCTGCCGGCTGTGATGAATGGGCCAGAGCCTCAGGAGCCACTGGGGACCTGCTGTAGCAGACCCCCTCCCCGCCCTGGCTGCCCCAGGGCAGAGGAACAGATAGCGGGGAGTGGACAGAAGGAAGAAAATGCAGAGATGAGAGGTGGCATCTTTCTGTGCCAGGCCACCACTACCCTTCTTTCTGCCCCCTGCCCCTCCCCCATCCATAGGAGCTGGACTCAAACCTTGAGCTAGCCCCACCCTTTCCTGACTTGAGGCCACTCCCCTCATAGTACGTAGCCTTGAGAATGGCAGATATGGTATCAGAATACCGCCCAGGCTGTAAGAATGGCTGAAGGAGGGGAGGAAGCTGTGAGCGGAGGGAGGGCCTTGGGGAAGCCACAGGAAGGCACAGGTGGAGTGACTACCGTTTGGGGGGTGCCCGTGGCACCGCCTCCCCCAGGCCGGACGCACCAGGAGAGGGATGCCTCCGGGGCAGGGCAGTGCCAGACCCTGGCCCGACGGCTCTGCTCTCTCCCGCAGTCCCCCCGGAGGACACCAGGATCGACGGGGGCCCCGTGCTTCTGCTGCAGGCGGGCATCCCCCACAACCTCACCTGCCGCGCCTTCAGTGCCAAGCCCGCGGCCACCATCACCTGGTTCCGGGACGGGGCGCAGCAGGAGGGCGCCGTGGCCAGCACGGTGAGACCCGCACGCTCCCACCCCCTCCGGGGCCTCCTCCCAGGTCACCTGTCCCTCCTCCTGGGGCTGACGCGGATGCAGACAGGGAAGGGGCCTTAAGGGTCTGTTGTTATGTTGTTATGTGATTGGGAACACAGAGGCCTGGAGAAGAGAAAGGAGCTCCCAGGTTCATGGTGCCATTCTGAGCAGAGACCACGAACGGTGGTCAGAACCGCTCCGCCAGGAGACACCCCCTCTGTGCGGGCATGTGGATGCTGGCTCTCTGTGGACAGCCATTCCGGCCCTCCCCGGAGTTTCTTGAGTTAGGTGTTCCGTCCAGCTCACAGCAAGGACGCTGACGGTCGGGGTGGGGGGGTGGAGAGCCTTGCCCCAGGTCACACAGCTGGCGTGCGGCAGAGCGGGGTTTGTGCCTGGGCCAGGCTGCGCTCTGCCTGCCCTGCCCCTCCACCTCCTGCCCAGCCTCTGGCTGGCTCAGCTGAGGAGGCAGGGTCACCCTGTCCACTTCGTGGTGAGCCTGTGGCAGAGAGAGGCAGCGAGCGACTTGCCCGGGATCACCGGGCAGAGTTCTCGGGGACCTCCTGTGCGGAGCTCCTTCTGCAGCTGCGGGCAAGCATGTGTGTGCCCAGCCCTTTGCCAGGCGGAGACACTCACCGTGTGCCTGAGTGAGACCGGCCCCAGGGCGAGCTGGGTTAGCTCCGCCCCTGACACCTTGGCCAGCTCACCTCTCCTTGGCCTCGGGCTCACCTTTTGACAAATGAGAATTTGGCCTGGGTGGTGCTTAACGCTTTCACCACCAAGAACTCTGTTCCCTTCCTCTTCCTGGGCTCCATGTTGTGAAATACTTTGGCAACCAAACAAGCTGACTTGTTAGTGGCATTTGGTCCGCCCCCCTCCTTGACATTCATGAGAGACCTGGCTCTGCCAGGCCGCACAGGCAGCCCCAGGAGAGGGGTGTGTAGCTTCGGCTCTTGGCCTGGCACGCCTTGGGCAGCCTGCAGTAGGACAGCTCCAGGGCTCTGAGCCTCAGAGTCGGTCTGATGGGTGTGAGGCTTAGGGCCTATGAGCTCATTCCCTGCCCTCAAGGGGTTCATGGATCAGCAGGAGAGACCCAACTCGGAAACACTCCGGCCCAGTGCCCAAGGGCAGGGCAGAACGTGCCCAGAGCAGCGTGCAGGACAGACTGCCTCCGGGAGGGCACAGGTTCAGGCCGGGAGAGTCCTGGGGGCTGAGGTGGCTGAGAAAGACTTAGCAGAAGAGGAGGGATAGAGCTGGACTCAGAGAATTCCAGGAATCAGGCTCCACCCCAACCGTGAGGCAGAGTGTGCAGCACACAGAATTGGCTCTGGTTAAACGATGGACCTGAGTTAGTGTGACGTGTCAATGTTGGCTGTGACACACAGATCACACTAAAGGGTCATGTTAATAACAGGGAAACAGGTGAGGAAGGAGGGCACATGGGTGTTCTCTTTCAAAAACATTTTTTTTTTTTTGGTAAATTTGAAACTTTTCTAAAAAATGAAACCTGCCAATTAAAGACAAAACGAAACCCAAGGAGAGGTGGGGGCTGGGGACGGGGTGAGCTCTAGGTTAAAGCGCCTCCAGCGGGCCGGCCCTGGGTCCGCCCTCCTGAGAGCAGGGAGGGGCTCTCAGCCTGACGCCGCCTCCCCCCGGGCCCCCAGGAGCTGCTGAAGGACGGGAAGCGGGAGACCACCGTCAGCCAGCTGCTCATCAACCCCACGGACCTGGACATCGGGCGCGTCTTCACCTGCCGCAGCGCCAACGAGGCCGTCCCCAGCGGCAGGGAGACCTCCATCGAGCTGGATGTGCACCGTGAGCTGGGGCGGGGCGGGAGGGACGGGGAGAGAGGGGAGAGCAGGGTCCGGGAGGGCAGACAGGGGAGATGTGAGCACTGCAGAGGAGTCAGCAGACTCCTCCGAGGGCCCAGGACAGGCTCACTGTCTGCCTTTGTGCCGGCTCCCTGGTGTGACCCAGGGGCGCTGGGGACTGGTGAAGAGGCATCAGCGGGGAGTCGAGCCGTTCCTGGGTCTAAACCAGAGTGTAGTTTTGGGCAATGATGTAATCTCCCCGTGCCTCAGTTTCCAATTCGGTATGCCTGCAGAAAACAAATGCAGGCCTACAGTTCCTTATCCAAAACTCCAAACTGACAGGGATTTCGGATAAGATTCGTTATCCAAAACCTCAGCCGAGGCTCTTCGCAGTCTTCAGTCGGGACAGCCACAGGTTTCGCTGCAGAGGGATTAGTGTATGTGGCCACGGGTGTTGCCGGTCCCTGCTGGAGGTCTCGCGTGGTAAACAGTCCATGCACACTGTTACCTTTCTAAGATTTGAAAAATTCTCAATTCTGAAGCACACAGTTTCAGCGGTTTCAGATGGACCTGTGCCGCTTCTCAGGGTTGTGAGCATCAAGTGAGTGTAGTGTAAGAGCTCCTAGCGTGGCGTCTGCCAGCTGGTATGTGCTCCAAAAATGACCTCTGCCCTGGGTAGGGTTGGATCTGAGCAGCAACAGAGAAATGCCCCGCCCCCAGCCCTCTTAATGAGCCAGGGGAGCCCACGCTGACATCTAGTGGCCACCGCTGGCCTTTACGCCCATTGGCTAATCAATCTGTCCCTTCGGCATCATCCTTGGTGGTCACTCCAGACGGCCCCCTCGAGTCCGCGGTGGGCTGTGGGTAAAGATGGAGACAGGGGCATTTATTGGAGCGGGTACCCTGCAAACGCAGACTCCCAGGCCACTGCGCGCGGTGCCCGAGGGGATGTGCCGGGGAGGGAAACGGAAACCTGGGAACAGAAAAGACCCTGACTTCCCGTCCCCTGCTTTGCAGACCCTCCCACGGTGACCCTGTCCATCGAGCCACAGACGGTGCAGGAGGGCGAGCGCGTTGTCTTTACGTGCCAGGCCACAGCCAACCCCGAGATCCTGGGCTACAGGTGTGCGGCGCAGGGCGTGGGCACCCGGGGCGGGCCGCGCCTCCGGGGGTGGTGAGAGGCTCCCAGCCCTAACCTCCCCCCCCCGCCCCCTCCCCCCGTGTTGTCTCTTCCCCCAGGTGGGCCAAGGGCGGCTTCTCCATCGAAGATGCCCACGAGAGTCGCTATGAGACGAATGTCGACTATTCCTTCTTCACAGAGCCTGTGTCCTGTGAGGTTTACAACAAAGTGGGCAGCACCAATGTCAGCACTTTGGTGAATGTCCACTGTGAGTGGCTGCAGGGGCAGGGGCAGGGGCAGGGGTGGGACCCGGGGCGGAGGGAGGGGCCTGAAGGGCCTGGGTGGAGCTGGGAGGCTCCATGAAGCTGAGGAGGTAGGGAAGAAACGCAGGCAGGTAGCAGGGCAGGAGAGAGGAGAGGAGGAGGCTGAGGGGAGCTGACCCCATGACACCGAGACCCTAACCACCCGCTGCCTCCACCTCAGTCGCCCCCCGGATTGTGGTTGACCCTAAACCTACGACCACGGACATTGGCTCTGACGTGACGCTCACCTGTGTCTGGGTTGGGAATCCCCCCCTCACCCTCACCTGGACCAAGAAGGACTCCAACATGGTAAGCCCCTGGCCGCCCCTCCCGGTGCTGGGAGGACAGAGCCGTCGAGGGAGGGCCGGCATGAGTTTTCAAGTTGAACTTGGGATATTTCTAAGAAATTGAGACTTAGAGGACAAGGCCAGCTCCTGCGATTACCCCCCACCCCTCCTCCAAGAACAGCTGTCGGGGTCCGGGTCAGGGGAGGGCGTGCTGGCGTGTGTGTGTGTGTGTGTGTGTGTGTGTGTGTGTGTGTGTGTGTAGGGGGAGGGCCTGAGACAGGCTCTGGGCTGGCGGGGGATGTGGTGAATGCCAAATCGGAAGGTGGGGCTGGAGAGGTCAGAGAGGGGGAAAGGCTGAATTCACAGCCCTCCAGAGACCGGCACTGAGCAGTTTGGGCAGAAGAGGGACTTCAGGGTGAAATTGTCAGGTCATCCGGGAGGCGGTCTCCTCGGTGACCTCATTCTCCGGCCACCTGCCGCCGTCCACCCGTGCGAGCTGGTGTGTTGAATGCCAGCCTGGTTAGAGCTGGGGGAGGGACCAGACTGACTCCTGGCCCCGTCTCCCGTCTGGGAACTCACCTGTGGCCCTTCCTGCTTTCTCTCCACTACATCCAATGCGGGGCCCCCGGACCTAGGGGCCCAGGCCTCCTGGCTCCCCACCCGAGGCTGCTCTCTCTGCCCAGGTCCTGAGCAACAGCAACCAGCTGCTGCTGAAGTCGGTGACCCAGGCGGACGCCGGCACCTACACCTGCCGGGCCATCGTGCCCCGCATCGGAGTGGCCGAGCGGGAGGTGCCGCTCTACGTCAACGGTGAGTGGCCCGAGGGGCGGGGCTGGGCCTGGGGGCGGGGCTGGGCCTGGGGGCGGGGCAGAGCCTGGGCCTGGGGGGGGCAGGGCCTGGGCCTGGGGGGGGCAGGGCCTGGGCCTGGGGAGGCAGGGCCTGGGCCTGGGAGGGGCAGGGCTGGGCCTGGGGGCAGGTGCTGGGAACTCCAGCGGACCCTGACTGCGCCTTCTGCTCGCAGGGCCCCCCATTATCTCCAGCGAGGCGGTGCAGTACGCCGTGCGGGGGGACGGCGGCAAGGTGGAGTGCTTCATCGGGAGCACGCCCCCCCCAGATCGCATTGTGAGTGCGGGGCGCCCCCCCGGGCGTGGGCGTGGGCAGTGGGCGCCTGCTCTCTGCTCGCTCAGTCTCCTCCGCTCTCTGTCCTGCTCCTGCTTCCCTCTGCTTCCGGTCCTCCAACTTCAGCCCCTCGGTCCCTTTCCGCGCTCTGTCCCACCACCTCTGACCTGTGTGACCCTGAGCGAATTGCTGTGCTCCTCAGTGTCACTCTAACACGGAGCACGTGACAAGCAGCAGGAGCAGCAGGGGTGGAAGGCCAGGGGGCGCCCTCGAGACGTTCACTGTCAGTTTTTAATGGATTTCAGAAAGAGAGAAGGACATGGAAACATCAACGATGAGAGAGAATCATTGATCGGTTGCCTCCTGCCCATCCCACACTAGGGATCGAGCCTGCATCTGGCATGTGCGCTGCCTGGGAATCGAACCTATAACCTGCTGGTTCATAGGTCAGTGCTCAACCACTGAGCCACTCTCCTTCCTTTCCTCCTGATCTTTCCTTGCTCCCTCCTCTTCCTCTCCCTTCAGCCCTGCCCAGCAGCTCTCCTTCCCGCCCCGGCCCACACCCGTTCCCCTCCCTTCTCCTTGGCTCTGCACCGGCTCCCGCACCACCCCCTCCTCTCTCCTCTTCCCCACACCACGAGCCATTAATTCCTGCCGTGGCCATTAACCGTCAAACCCCTCATCACATTTAATAACCATTTGGCTGCCTGCAGGGCTGCCCAGGGACACTTCATTACCACGGCTGCCGAGCCGGAGTGCTCCGCTCCCGGGGGCCGGCTCTCAGCCACACCACCCCTCACGCCCTCCTGGGGGGGGGGGACGCACGGGGCTGCCCCCGGGAGCTGGGGGGCGGCCCGGGACCCCCTCTCCTCTGGCAGCTCTTGGCCATCAGGAGCGTCTGTGGCTGCGTCTCCGCGGCAGCAGCAGGTTAGCGTGCTGCCGGGTCTGGTTAGGGTAGGACTGACGACTGGCGTATGTGGAAGAAACCTTGTTGTCCAGTCTGGTCCCCTCCCTTCCCGGTGCGGAACAGCCCGGAGAGGGGAGGGAGGCCACACCGGGACTGGAAGGGAGCCCCGTGTTCTTGACCCCCCCCCCCCCCCAGGGCTTTATCTACAACATCAGGGGTTCCCAAATGGTGCACCCACGTCGCACACCACAGGGGACCCATATAAACACAGGTTCGCGCTGGCTGGCGGCTCAGTCGGGTGGAGCGTTGGCCCGCACACCAAGAGTTTACGGGTTCGCCCTAACCGGTTTGGCTCAGTGGATAGAGCGTCAGCCTGCGGACTGAAGGGTCCTGGGTTCGATTCCGGCCAAGGGTACAGGCCTGGGTTGCAGGCACATCCCAGTAGGGAGTGCGCAGGAGTCAGCCGATCCATGGTTCTCTCTCATCATTGATGTTTCTAACTCTCTCTCTCTCCCTCTCCCTTCCTCTCTGTAAAAAAATCAATAAAATATATTAAAAAAATAAAAAAAGAATTTACGGGTTTGGCCGGGACTGGTTTGGCTCAGTGGATAGAGCGTCGGCCTGCGGACTGAAGGGTCCCAGGTTCGATTCCCGGCAGGGGCATGTACCTTGGTTGCGGGCACGTCCCCAGCGGGGGCTGTGCAAGAGGCAGCTGATCGATGATTCTCTCTCATCGATGTTTCTAACTCTCTATCCTTCTCTCTTCCTCTCTGTGAAAAATCAATAAAAAAAATATTAAAAAAAAAAAAAAAAGAATTTACCAGTTTGATCCCTGGTAGGGACACATGGGAGGCAACCGATCGAAGTTTCTCTCTCTCACCAGTGTTTCTCTCTCTCTTCCTCCCTCTCTAAGAATCCATGAACAGATTCCTGGGTGAGGATAAAAAAGGGGGGGGGGGTCCTATTTAGGAGATAAGTCCCAGAAACGGGCATTTTGAAGGGCGTCCCTGGCTATGTCTGAGTGCCTCTGGCGTACGCCTGTCGTGTGTCCGAGTGCCTCTGGCGTGCGCCTGTCGTGTGTCCCAGTGCCCCTGGCGTACGCCTGTCGTATGTCTGAGTGCCTCTGGGGTACGCCTGTCATGTGTCTGAGTGCCCCTGGCGTACGCCTGTCATGTGTCCGAGTGCCTCTGGCGTACGTCTCTCATGTGTCTGAGTGCCTCTGGTGTGCGCCTGTCGTGTGTCCGAGTGCCTCTGGCGTGCGCCTGTCGTGTGTCCCAGTGCCCCTGGCGTACGCCTGTCGTATGTCCGAGTGCCCCTGGCGTGCACCTGTCGTATGTCCGAGTGCCCCTGGCGTGCACCTGTCGTATGTCCGAGTGCCCCTGGCGTACGTCTGTCATGTGTCCGAGTGCCCCTGGCATACGCCTGTCGTATGTCCGAGTGCCTCTGGCGTGCACCTGTCATGTGTCCGAGTGCCTCTGGCGTACGCCTGTCGTGTGTCCCAGTGCCCCTGGCATGCACCTGTCGTGTGTCCGAGTGCCCCTGGCGTACGCCTGTCGTGTGTCTGAGTGCCTCTGGCGTGCGCCTGTCATGTGTCCGAGTGCCTCTGGCGTACGCCTGTCATGTGTCCCAGTGCCTCTGGCCTACGCCTGTCATGTGTCCGAGTGCCCCTGGCGTACGCCTGTCGTGTGTCCGAGTGCCTCTGGCGTGCGCCTGTCATGTGTCCGAGTGCCTCTGGCGTGCGCCTGTCATGTGTCCGAGTGCCCCTGCCGTACGCCTGTCGTGTGTCTGAGTGCCTCTGGCATGCACCTGTCATGTGTCCGAGTGCCCCTGCCGTGCGCCTGTCGTGTGTCCGAGTGCCTCTGGCGTGCACCTGTCGTGTGTCCGAGTGCCCCTGCCGTACGCCTGTCGTGTGTCTGAGTGCCTCTGGCGTGCGCCTGTCATGTGTCCGAGTGCCTCTGGCGTGCGCCTGTCATGTGTCCGAGTGCCTCTGGCATGCACCTGTCGTGTGTCCGAGTGCCCCTGCCGTACGCCTGTTGTGTGTCTGAGTGCCTCTGGCGTGCGCCTGTCATGTGTCCGAGTGCCTCTGGCGTGCGCCTGTCATCTGTCTGAGTGCCCTGGCGTACGCCTGTCATGTGTCCGAGTGCCTCTGGTGTACGCCTGTTGTATGTCTGAGTGCCTCTGGCGTGCGCCTGTCATGTGTCCGGGTGCCTCTGGCGTACGCCTGTCGTGTGTCCGAGTGCCTCTGGCGTGCGCCTGTCATGTGTCCGGGTGCCTCTGGCGTGCGCCTGTCATGTGTCCGAGTGCCCCTGGCGTACGCCTGTCATCTGTCTTGAGTGCCCTGGCGTACGCCTGTTGTATGTCCGAGTGCCTCTGGCGTGCGCCTGTCGTGTGTCCGAGTGCCCCTGGCGTACGCCTGTCGTGTGTCCGAGTGCCTCTGGCGTACGCCTGTCATGTGTCTGAGTGCCTCTGGCGTACGCCTGTCGTATGTCCGAGTGCCCCTGGCGTGCGCCTGTCGTGTGTCCGAGTGCCTCTGGCGTACGCCTGTCATGTGTCTGAGTGCCTCTGGCGTGCGCCTGTCGTGTGTCCGAGTGCCCCTGGCGTACGCCTGTCGTGTGTCCGAGTGCCTCTGGCGTGCGCCTGTCGTGTGTCCCAGTGCCTCTGGCGTGCGCCTGTCGTGTGTGGGAGCCGCTGCTTCTCCTGACTGGGGGCTCCGTGCCCAGGTCTGAGGCGGAGGGTGAGTGACCAGGCTTGCTGCAGGGTGTGTGGGGCCGGGCACTCTGGGCACAGACCTGCGGAAGGGTGAGGTGTTCCTCCCTCCCGCCCCGCTCACCCCTGCCCTCCCCACGGCAGGCGTGGGCCTGGAAGGAGAACTTCCTGGAGGTGGGCACCCTGGAGCGCTACACAGTGGAGAGGACCAACTCGGGCAGCGGCGTGCTGTCCACGCTCACCATCAACAACGTCATGGAGGCCGACTTCCAGACCCACTACAACTGCACGGCCTGGAACAGCTTCGGCCCGGGCACCGCCATCATCCAGCTGGAGGAGCTAGGTGACGCCTGGGGGCCCCGCTCCCTCCTCTCTCCGGGGCTGGACTCGGGGGGGACCCCGGCCTGGGCCTCCCCACCGGAAGCTGGCCTATTGCTCCGCGGGGGAACCACTGACTTTCTGAGACGTTTGTTGTGCGTCTGTTACATGCCAGGCCCTGTGCGAGGGGCTGCAGGGACCCATGTGCACGTGGTCCTTGCCCTCGGGACCCAGGTTAGTGGAAGGGCTTAGCCGGTGGCAGCAAATGGCTTCAGCTGGAGAGATGGCGAGTGATCTGTGAAAGGAAGCGGCCTGCCTCACTGGGAGGGTGTGAGGGTTACCCGAGAGCATTCATTAAATGCCTGGCACATGATGGAGGCCAGGGAGTTTGGGTTCCTCACCTCTTCAAGGATCCTTGGTGTGGTGGGAGGCACCTCGCCCCCCTACCCTCCCACCCCCTGAGGCACTTCTAGTTTAACAACAGCAGGCGTTGCCTTTGCCTTTTTTGGAAGTTTCCACGTCTGAAGAGGGAAAAGGCTTTTATATATGTACTAGAGGCCCGGTGCACAAAATTCGTGCATGGGCTTGGGGTGGGGTGTCCCTTAGCCCAACCTGCACCCTCTCCAATCTGAGGCCCCTTGAGGGATGTCCGACTGCCCATTTAAGCCCAATCCCACCAGGATTCATAGTCCAGGACTGCTAGCTCCCAACCGCTCACCTTTCTGCCTGCCTGATGGACCCTAACCTCTTGTGCCTGTCAGCCTGATCATCCCTTAACCACTCCCTTACCAGCCTGATCAACGCCTAACTGCTCCTCTGCCAGCCCAGTCACCCCTAACTGCCTTCTCCTATAGGCCAGGTCCCCCTTAACTGCCCTCCCCTGCAGGCCTGATTGCCCCCAACTGCCCTCCCTTGCAGGCCTGGTCACTGTCAACTGCCCTCCCCTGCGGCCATCTTGTACTGGCCATCTTGTGTCCACATAGGGGAGGCCATCTTTGACTACATGGGGATGGCCATTGTGTGTGTGTGTGTGTGTGTGCGCGCGCGCACGTGCGTGTGTTGGAGTGATGGTCAATTTGCATGTTACTCTTTTATTAGATAGGACTAGAGGCTTGATGCATGAGATTCCTGCAAGGGGCTCGGCCCCAGTGCAGGCCTCTGCCTCGGCCCCCCAGCATTGCCAAAGCTTTGTCTGGGAAGTCGTCTGGTCTAATTAGCATATTACTCTTATTATTTTTTTACATATAAACATACACAACACACACCCACACACACCTATATATAACTAGCCATTTGATATGGGAGATGGGAATAACGGGATCCATCAGTTCTCGGCTGAGAGTGCCCGCCAGGCGGTGGTGGAGGAAGAGAGTAGGGAGTAAGGCAGAGCTCCTGGAGCCAGGCTCTGAAGGGGAGGGGCCGTGACCCACCCAGGACTTCCGGGAGGGGAGAGAGCTGGCGTCGGAGACCCAGGTGCTTCTCGGCCCTGGGGGCGGGGAGCCGAGGTGGGCTGTTGGGGTTCTGGTGGGTGGGTGGGTGCCCAGGGGGCCGTCACGGTGCTGAGGTGGCAAAGAGGTCGGAACACACGCAGCCGATGGGAGAGTTTAGAGACGGCTGACCTCACACCAGGGCTCATAGGAAGCTGGGACAGGAGAGGGACAGACAGACCGCCAAGGCCAGAGTTGGGGGGATGCCCCAGCAGCTGGGATACGGTATCACCACGCCCTCCACTCTGATCAGGCGTAAGCTCCGGCCCAAACCCACACACAATGCAGGCCTTCCCCTACCATCCCGCCTTGTCCTAAAGCAACCCGAGCACAACCGGGGGGCGGGGGGGACTGCGGCTGTGGCCGGCCTGGGCCTCGGCCAGCACAGAGCTCAGAGCCCGGGAGGCGGGGCGCCGTCCTGACCCCTCTCCTTCCCGGCTGCAGAGGTGCTGCCTGTGGGCATCATCGCGGGAGCCACCATCGGGGCCGGCATCCTGCTCACCTTCTCCCTCATCGCCCTTGTGTTCTTCCTCTACCGGCGGCGCAAAGGCAGTGAGTATGGCCGTGGGCACGGCCTGCCCGCCCGCCCGGCTCCGGCGGCCGACCTCGCTCCCAGGGGCCCCGGCTCCGGCGGCCGGCCTCGCTCCCAGGGGCCCGGAGGTGGCCATTGTGCTTCCCAGCCAAGGCGGGTCTGGGAACCAGCCCTGCGGGGCTGGCAGCGAGCGCCCAGGCCATCTCCCTTGTCCCAGGTCGCAAGGACGTGACCCTCAGGAAGCTGGACATCAAGGTGGAGACCGTGAACCGGGAGCCGCTCACCATGCACTCTGACCGGGAGGATGACACCGCCAGCGTCTCCACGGCCACCCGCGTCATGAAAGCCATCTACTCAGTAAGGGGCCCGCCCTGCCCTGGCCCCCTCCCTCCCTTCGTTCTCCAATAACCACTGTCCCTGGCTCCTCCTTTGGTCAGCTGGCCTTGGTCCGCACACACGCATATGCACACATGTTTACAACATGCTTACATACACCTGCATACATGCTCACACGCCCTCCAGGCGGATTTCCCGCCAGCAGAGGCTGGGCAGGTGGGCCGCCCCTAGACTTCCTTTGCCCCATCCTTTTTTTTTTTTTTTTTTAAATGTGTTTTATTGATCTTTTTATAGAGAGGAAGGGAGAGGGATAGAGAGCTAGAAACATTGATGAGAAACATCGACCAGCTGCCTTCTGCACACCCCCGCCCCCCATTGGGGATGTGCCTGCAACCAAGGTACATGCCCTTGACAGGAATCGAACCTGGGACCTTTCAGTCCGCAGGCCGACGCTCTATCCACTGAGCCAAACCGGTTTCGGCTGCCCCATCCTTTCCCTGCAGAGTCAGAACTGGAAACCCCTGGGATTTTTCACATCCCACTGCCTCACGGCTGGATCCCTGAGAGGGGCAAAGGCCCGGCCCTGGTCACGTGGTGTGTCAGGGGCAGAACTGTGCTAGGGCCAGGGACTGGCTTCTCCCCACCACAGCCTCAAGCCCACCCAGGACCCGGCCTTTCCCACTGAGGGTGGCCTCGGTGTGGGGAGCGGTGCGTGGGGGTAAGAGCAGACTCCTAAGGCCCACACTCCTGCTGCTCTGCAGTCCTTCAAGGACGACGTGGACTTGAAGCAGGACCTGCGCTGTGACACCCTCGACACCCGGGAGGAGTATGAAATGAAGGTGGGAAGGGGGAAGGGGCCGGCCCGAGGGCTGGGGGCAGAGGGGGTGGGGGGTGTCATAGGGTCCTGGGTGCTGAGGATGGGAAGGAGGGCAGGTCGGGAGGGAGGGGCAGAGGGGGGTGGGGGGTGTCATAGGGTCCTGGGTGCTGAGGATGGGAAGGAGGGCAGGTCGGGGAGGGAGGGGCAGAGGGGGGTAGGGGGGGGTGTCATAGGGTCCTGGGTGCTGAGGAATTGAAGGAGGCAGGTCGGGAGGGAGGGGCAGAGGGGCGTAGGGGGGGCTGTCATAGGGTCCTGGGTGCTGAGGATGGGAAGGAGGGCAGGTCGGGGAGGGAGGGGCAGAGGGGGGGAGGGGGGGGTGTCATAGGGTCCTGGGTGCTGAGGAATTGAAGGAGGCAGGTCGGGAGGGAGGGGCAGAGGGGCGTAGGGGGGGCTGTCATAGGGTCCTGGGTGCTGAGGATGGGAAGGAGGGCAGGTCGGGGAGGGTGGGGCAGAGGGGGTGGGGGGTGTCATAGGGTCCTGGGTGCTGAGGATGGGAAGGAGGGCAGGTCGGGGAGGGTGGGGCAGAGGGGGTGGGGGGTGTCATAGGGTCCTGGGTGCTGAGGATGGGAAGGAGGGCAGGTCGGGAGGGAGGGGCAGAGGGGGGTAGGGGGGGGGCTGTTATAGGGTCCTGGGTGCTGAGGATGGGAAGGAGGGCAGGTCGGGGAGGGAAGGGCAGAGGAGGGTAGGGGGGGGCTGTTATAGGGTCCTGGGTGCTGAGGATGGGAAGGAGGGCAGGTCGGGAGGGAGGGGCAGAGGGGGGTAGGGGGGGCTGTTATAGGGTCCTGGGTGCTGAGGAAGGGAAGGAGGGCAGGTCAGGAGGGAGGGGGTGGGGGGTAGGGTCCTGGGTGCTGAGGATGAGGGCAGGTCGGGAGGGAGGGGGTGGGGGGTAGGGTCCTGGGTGCTGAGGATGAGAAGGAGGGCAGGTCGGGGAGGGAGGGGCAGAGGGAGGTTGAGGGGGGGGGTGTTATAGGGTCCTAGGTGCTGAGGATGGGAAGGAGGGCAGGTCGGGAGGGAGGGGCAGAGGGGGTGGGGGGTGTCATAGGGTCCTGGGTGCTGAGGATGAGGGCAGGTCGGGAGGGAGGGGACGGCTAGGAGGCCTGAAGGAGCCAAGGAGGCAGGAGGTATTTGCTGGGACCACAGGGGCGAGCCCAGGAAGCCCCGAGGGTGGCCACGGCGAGGTTGGACCCCGCCACCAGGGGGCGCGGACTCACCCGCCCCTCTTTCCCCCCCCCCCCCCCCCAGGACCCCACCAACGGCTACTACAACGTGCGCGCCCACGAGGACCGGCCGGCCTCGCGCACGGTGCTCTACGCCGACTACCGCGCGCCCGGGCCCGCGCGCTTCGACGGCCGCCCGGCCTCGCGCCTCTCGCACTCGAGCGGCTACGCGCAGCTCAGCTCCTACGGCCGCGCGCCCGCCGCCGACTTCCCCGAGCCCGCGCCCGCCGCGCCCGCCGCCGACACGGCCAGCCAGCTGTCCTACGACAACTACGACAAGTTCGGCGCCCACCCGTTCCCCGGGGCCGCGGGCTACCCCACCTACCGGCTGGGCTACCCGCAGGCGCCCGCCGGCCTGGAGCGGACCCCCTTCGAGGCCTACGACCCCATCGGCAAGTTCGCCACGGCCACGCGCTTCTCCTACACGTCGCAGCACTCGGACTTCGGGCAGCGCTTCCAGCAGCGCATGCAGACGCACGTGTAGCCGGCAGGGGGCGCTCTGCGGGCGGAGGGCAGCTCTGCGGGCGGCAGGGGGCGCTCTGCGGACAGAGGAGGAGCGGGCCCCCTGATATTCAGGGGCGCTGCTTGCCCGCAGCTCCTGTCCCCAACCAACCAACCTCCCTCCTTCCGCCCTGGCAGGTGGGGGGACAGGTCTCCCCCCGAAACATCCACCTGAGGTGCTTGCTCTGTGCTGCCCAGCCTCCTGGGCCTGCCCTTCCCTCCTCCGCGGGAGGGTGGGGCTGGGAAGGGGAAGGTCGTGGAGAGCAGAGGGGGCGCTTTTTGGCATTCCTGTCCCGCCCCCCTGGTCTCCCAGGACGGGGCTGGGGGTTCGTGTGGGAGGGGGTCGGCTCTGGCCTAGGGGGCCGCATGCAGTCTAGGGGTGAGTGTTGGCGCTGGCACATAGAGGTGGACACAGGCTGGCCTGGCCGGTCCTCTGTCATCTGCATTCGTACCCCGGTGTATCCCCTTCCTTCCTCGGGACTGCAGAAGGTCCTGGGGTTTATTGGACCTTGGCCTAGGGAACAGCCCTGGCACTGAGTTCAAATCCAGCCCTCCTCCAGGGAGATGAAAATGCCCGCCCTCCTGGCTGCCTGCTACGGATGCCCGTCTGTCAGTCTGCAGAGGGACCAGGCTGCCCCCCTTACCTTCTCTGTGCGGGGCTAGCCAGACATGTCAGGGGTCATGGTGGAAGAAGGAAAGGCCAGGAACCACGTCCTGACTCACCAGCAAGATGACTGTATGTGACCCAGCCGTTTGCAGAAGCCACGCTAGGGGTGCCCACCCAAGCCTTTCTCTCCCCAGGCTGCCCCCCTTCCTGCCTGGGGAGGTGTGGGTGAGAGGGGAGGAGTCTTATAGGCTATTTTTTCAAAGAAAAAACAAAACAAAAAACCCTCCCCAATAACAATAAACATCTCATTTGGGGGAAAAAAAGGTAACAGTAAAGCTGTAAGGATTCCCCCGCCCAAATACCAGTCCCAGGGGGAAGGAGAGGGCACCTGCCCGTCACCAGCTTCCTGGCACCGTCCACTACTCTGTCTCCGAGCCTGTCTCTGAACACCCGGCGGTGAGGCCAGTCTGCGGACGGGCTGACAGGCTTAGGGAGGGGACCCGGCTCTCAGACACCCTGCACCACCCCAAGCCCACCACGGCCTAGAGGCCACCTTCTGAGGGGGGTGAGATGCGCTCTTCACACGGGTTTTGCTTAAGCGTCTTTCCCCCCCTCTTGGATCCATCCTGTTCCTCCGCTTCGCAGTGCCTTGCGCTCAGGTTGGCCGGCCCTGTGTGGGAGGCTTGCGGGGAGCGGGCATTCTGAGCCCCAGACACTGTCAAGCGTTGCAGGTTTTCGGGAACAGGGGCCAGGGGGCTGGTAGGAGGAAGGGAAGACTGGGTAAGGTGGTCCAGAGGGCACTGCAGGCGGCCGCGGCCCAGGCTGATACCCACACATGCACACGCTCGGTCCCCATGGCTTTCAGCCACCACCTGCTAACCAAAGAGAACCAGCACTCCAAAGAACCCCGGGGGGGCCTCCGCCTCCCTAGAGCGGGGCCTGGAGTGCACCCCCAGCGCGCTCAGCCCCGAAGACCCAGGCGGGGCCTCCTGTGGCCCCCAGGATGCACCCCGGCTTTCTCGTGGTCGCCATTCGCGATCCAGTTCGCTTTCGTGAGTGCCGGGCCACGGGCCATCGGCACCTTTGGGTGGGTCTGCGGGGTGACACGCCTGGCCTCCCAGCTACCTCTGCCCTCCAGGCGTGGCCGGAGCCCCAGGGACCTGCCCTTTGGGAAGTGTCCAGGCTCCTACCCATGCCCATCCCCGGGAGCCGACCCCTCCCTGCATGGTCCGCGTAGGCAGGCTCAGCGAGGAGGCCTGTTAAGGATGCGGGTTCCTCTGCAGATTCATGCATCTTGGTGATTTTCACAGAATCCAAACGTCATGGGTAACTGTTAAACATCGGGAATACTCCACAAGGCGGTTTTGTTTGGGGTTTGGTCAGATTCTCCTCTTTCCCTCTTTTTGGTTGCAGTGTGGGGCCCATTCTGTTGAAACGATGGAGAGGAGGGGGCCAAGGTCACTAGGTCACTGTCAGCTGGCACTGAGGGGCCATTCGTCCTCTGAGGCCTGACACAGTTGCTGAACCTTCCCTAGGGCCTCCTGGGTGCCAAGCAAGAGGCCTTTTCCTGCCCAGCAACCGCTTACAAGGGGAAGCCTCAGGCTGAGGGGTGGGTACAGGGGGCGAGGCCTGAGGTCAGCTGACCCCTCTGACGGGGCCTGTGGGAAGGGCATGTGGGTCCAGCACGTCTGACACATTCTGGGTTTGGAAGTGGTCCTTGGGCTGCTGGGTGAGCCAGGGTTCCTTTGCGGAGGGCCTCGCCTGCATCCCCAATCCTGGACCCCTCAGCCCACCCACAGAGTTTGCATTAAGCAAAAACCCTAAATCGGGAAGGAAAGTGGCCATGGGTTAGGGCGGTGCTGTTTTGCTGGGGATGAAATGGTTGGTTTGACCACTGTCTCCAGCCGCTGTGTCTTCTCACCCAGCATCATGAGGCAGCCTATCTGCCCCCAGACCCTCTCGTTACCCAGACGGCAATCCTGGGCTCCTTCAAATGGAATCAGGTGGTTTGTCACTATAGGGTAAGGTGACCAGACATCCCAGTTCTGGCGGGACAGTCCCAATTTTTAACAACTTGTCCCACGCGTTTTAAAAAAGTTTTGCAAAAATCGGGACTTTTTTTAAAGGGATGCAAGACAAAATGTTCAAAATCAGGACATCTGGTCACCTTACTATAGGGTATGAAAAAAATGATAAAACCCAGACCCCAGCTGGACTGACCTGGCTCAGTCACTGCCTCTCTGCTGTGTGGGCAATGTCCCCATGGCTACACTGCCCAGGCCAGCCCGGCCCCAGAGCCCAGCCTCTCTGCCGCTTCGGTGCTGTGTGTGCCGGCCAGGTGACCGCCCCGGCCACGGTGGGGCCAGCGAGGAAGCAATCACAGAACTCCAGTGCTCAGGCCCAGGGGTGCCATTGGGAAGGCATTTATTTTTGTGAAGAGGCTATAAAATTGGCATGTAACTATCCCATTCCCTTTGCTCTGTCTCTCCCTCCCCAGCTCCTCCCCTTCTCTCATCTGGAGGCCAGCCTCCTGGAAGGCCTGGCCTTGATCAGCTTGTCCTGACCTTTCACCTCTAGCCTCGAGGAGAGGACAGAAAGGCACAGCTTGGGAGACGGAGGGGAGGCAGAATCCCATTTTCCTGCATCACTGTGAGGGCCGGGTCCTGCTCCCGGAGGAATATTTGCTGCGCGTAGTGGGGGTACCAGCACGAGCCTGCTCTTAAAAACAACTCCGTTTGCATGTAACTCACTCATTCCTGCCCATCTCCTGCCCCTGCTGGCTTCTGAGGGCCCCAGCCAGTGGTCTTGTCAAGTGTGGGTGGGCTATGGCTCCTTTGGGAGCTTCTGATCTTGAGATGCTGCCCCTGCGAACACCCCAGCTTGGACGAGAGCAGCCATGGTGCAGCGCAGCCAAACGCCACTCACTTGCTAGCAATAGTGACTTGGAAGATCTGGCTGCTGCCGATTTCTCCAGAAAGAGGCGCAGGGCTCCCTGTGGTCTCATTTTCTACCCCAACCGTTCTCGGGATTGCAACCTCCATTTCTGGCTCCAAACGAATTCCCCCCACACGAACCCCAATACTAAATGGATCCACGATGATTAAAAGAAGAGAGAAAAAATATTTTTGTTAGGACAGACCATCGTAGATTTTTAGCAATGTGTATCTGTGTGTCCTTCACGACTTTTCCTATTCTGCCTTTTTTTCATTTTCCTTTTTTAAAAAATATTATGTACTATATTTTTAGTCTCAAACACACTATATATTATATATATTTAATTTTTATATATAAATATAAATGTTCTAAAAAGTACCATGTTTTGTGTTATTCATGCTTGAACAGCTCCACATACGTAAAAGCTTGCCTGATCTGGGGCGAAATGGTCCAGACTTGGGGGAGGGTAGGAGATTTTTGGATTGAGATCGCAGACAGCATATTTGGGTTCCCTCCAGGCCCTGCAGGGCAAGCACATTTTACTCAGTTTGTGACTCGCAGAGCACTGAGGCCCATGTGGCAGTTCAGAGACGAACAGAACAGCTCCAGCCTCCGTGTTTTGCGGACACAGCATCCAAATGCTCTATGCCAAGTCTGATTATGGGATGGGGAAGGGGGAAACTGGGTCAGGGATCGAGATTCCAAAGGATTTGGGGGTAAGGGTAGGACAGGATTGGGTCCGTTTATTAAAATGCAATGGTTTGGTAAAAAGCAAAGCTACCAGGTGTCAACCTTTGAACTTGTAGTGAAACACACACACACACACACACACACACACAATGGTGTACACACAGAAGCCATTCTGCTGAGAAATTCCAGATTCTGTTTCGGTAGAGATTGTAAGGATTTCTCTTTGCTCATTCTACAGGATAATTTTTTTTTTTTTTAACAGAATTGTTTTTGTTCATCCTCACCTGAGGGTATTTTCCCATGATTTTTAGGGAGTGGAAGGGAGGGGTAGTGACAGACACATTGATGTGAGTGAGACCTATTGATGGGTTGCCTCCTGCACACACCCCGACCAGTGAGTGATCCAGCCCGTAACCAAGATTGATGCCCTTGACCGGAATTGAACCTGGGACCCTTCAGTGGCAAGTCAATCGACGCTCTATCCACTGAGCCAAACCGGCGAGGGCTGATAATGTTTTTGAAAGCTATAAATCACTAGAGAGACACAAAGGGTTTGTTGTTTTCCTCCTCCAGCTAACAGCTAACCAAACTAGAGCTGTTCCACAATAGCCTCTTTGTACACACGGGACATGGGACATGGAGACAGAGAGGGGGATGAAAGCTGAGAAAATGCTTCTGAGGTGATGCCACCCATTTCCAAGACGGTTGGCGTTCACAGCCCTGGGCTGCCGCTGCTGGAGGAGCAGAGCTGTGGGGCTGCCATTGGGAGGCCTGTGTCCGGGGCCAAGAGCCTGTAGGTAGCCCAGGGCAAGTCCAGCCTGGCTGGGAAGGAGGCCCAGGTGCAGGGTGGATGTTGAGGCTGCAGCCGGGTAAGTTGAACTGGCACAGGTAATACAAGGCATGGTAGTTAGAACCCGAAAGTAAACTGATAGATCCCCCCTTTCTCCAGTTGATGGACAGACGTAAACCCCACCTGCGGCCAGACATTCCTGAGCACTGAACCACCAATCAGCACCTGCCAAATACCCTAAGCCCCCATTCCTAAGTCCCTAGGTCCCTAATCACCAATCAGGGTGTGCTGAGTGCCCTAAGCCCCGCCCTCTATCCTTAAAGGTGCCTGTAAGCCCCTGTCTTGCTCTCTTCCGCTCCTCTCTGTGGAAGCAGCCGGCAGGGGTACCCTTTCCTCCAATAAAGCCTGTGTGTGTCCTGCCATCCCGGTTTCCGGTCTACAGAATAGGGTAATAGGGGGGTGGGGTAGGGGTGGGGGAGACAAACAGGAGAATAAGCCAGTTTATGCAAACATGGAGGTCAGGTGAATTCTGTTAGGCCAAGGAGTGTTAGCTCGGATGCTTCCGGTGCTGTGTCCACCTCGGATGTGTTTGATTCCTCTCTGTGTCCCCAAGCCCAGGGCAGGAGTGTGTGGCCTGTATCAGGCCTCTTCCTGTGCCAGGCCCAGGCCCCTCCTTTATGCCACCCTAGATCAGTGGTCGGCAAACTGCAGCTCAAGAGGGGCTCTTTGGCCCCTCGAGTGTGGCTCTTCCACAAAACACCACGTACAGTGCGATTGAAACTTCGTGGCCCACGCGCAGAAGTCGGTTTTCGGCTCTCAAAAGAACTTTCAATCGTTGTGCTGTTGATGTTTGGCTCTGTTGGCTAATGAGTTTGCCGACCATTGCCCACGACTGAGCATAAGTAATGACATCAACAACCCCTTTGTCACCGTTCTTTGCAGCCTTAAAAGCCACCCGTTAGGAGTTAGTCTGCCTTAGCATGTGCAGACATGTTCCTGTCTGCACTTTTCACTAAAGTGTGGAAGTTCAAGGTCCCCAAGGATCCACTCATCCTACCCTCCCTTTCACCTACCGACATCTCACACAGCCTTGTTTGGAGTAAGCCTTGCCTCTCCTGGCCCTCTGTGCTTTTGGCCAAGCTCTTCCCCCGCCTGGAATGCCCAGGCCTTCCTACCTTCCCATGTGCACATTGTACTTACATCACTTAAGGCCCTCTCCCCCGGGAGGGAAAGCTGGCCAAGTCCCAGGACAGGTGGGCTGTATCCTGCTCACCTCACTCTTACTTGTCTGATTGCATCACAGGGGTCTGTGTATGACACATTAGCATTAGCACTTCCTTCTGAAAATAAGGGCATTTAAAGGCAGAGAGCATGCATCATTTATTTTAATATCCTCATCATCTAACAGAGTGGAATTTGTGCTAGTCCAGTGGTTGGCAAACTCATTAGTCAACAGAGCCAAATATCAACAGTACAATGATTGAAATTTCT